GTATGTTCTCCCACACAGTGCGTTCCCTTTTCATTTCGTTCATAGTTTCTTTTGCTGTGCAGAACCTTTTTAATTTAGTGTAGTCGGGTTACCGTTGATATTTAGCTAGAAAAGGGTAGCAAAGGGAACAAGACATTGAACTTAATAAAAATGGAGAACATTAGCCTGCTTGCTAGCCAGCTACAACCTCACACCCCAGGAGTTACAGCACTGTGCTCCACCGAAAGGATCAACACTTTTCTCTTCCCCCCTCTGGTACCAGACTTCCAGGTGAGAGCAGGGGGAAGGGAGACACATGCAAAACAAGCCAAAATGCACAGCGGGAGGTGCTTGACCAAAAAGGCCAGTCAATCTAACCTGGGGAAAAACCAAAGCCCAAGGAAGCCTGGGAAGTTGAGTGGTTCATTTGAAAAGACACCTGGCCTTACCCAAATGCAAGTTAATATAATCTCAGGGGAACAAAGAAGCTCTCTCTCTTTCTCTCTCTCTCTCCCTTCTCTGGTGGTGCACTCACCTGTGCATTCATGTGCTCTCTTGCTCGGGAGCACCTGACCATGTGAGTGGAGCAGCTACTGGGTCCTGGAGCCCATGTGGGCTCCACAGAAAGCAATGGAGTGCAGCTGGAAACACACTCTAAGCTAGCAAGATGCTGGGCTGGACTGGGTTTTAATATGATGCAGAAACTCTGGTTTTTGCTTTGGCTCTGCTGAGGACATGGCTGGACTTTTTTCACGGCAGACAGAGGGAGATGAGACATTGGAAACCCAGAAGACAGCTTCCATTTCCACATAAATAAACCATTTCCCACCCCACAATCACCAGTGTGTGGGTCCTTGGAATACTTTCTCCCTGATCCTGTGGAAGAACCTAATTCCCATCCACGACAATCCCATTTGTTTACTTTTTCCTTTTATTTCCCTTGCAACTACTGTGGAAAATTGCGGAGTTTCCTCAGAAAATTAAAGATAAAACTGCCTTTTGATCCAGCAATCCCACTTCTGGGAATATGTCCTAAGAATCCCAAAACACTGCTTCAAAAGAATATGTGCTCAGCCCTGGTGGGTGTGGCTCAGTGGATTGAGCACGGGCCGTGAACCAAAGGGTCACTGGTTCGATCCCCAATCAGGGCACATGCCTGAGTTGCAGGGGGTGTCCAGGAGACAACCACACATTGATGTTTCTCCCCCCTTTCTCCCTCCCTTCCCCTCTCTAAAAATAAGTAAGTCAAATCTTTTAAAATATAAATAAATAAAAGAATACGTGTTCATTGCAGCATTATTTACAATAGCCAAGACCTGGAAAAGGCCCACATGCCCATTAGTAGACGAGAGGATAAAAATGCTGTGGTACATTCACACAATGGAATACTATGCAGCCATAGAAAAGAAAATCTTACCTTTGCAATAGTGTGGATGGACCTGAAGATTATTATACTAAGTGAAACAAGCCATTTAGAAAAAGACACATACCATATGATCTCACTTATATGTGGAAACTAATGAACAAAGTAGTAACCAAGGCACAGATACATGGAACAGACTGACAACTACCAGAGGGAAAGAGGGGACTGGATGAAAGAAGGTGAAGGGATTAGCCAGAGCATATGTGCATGACCCACAGACACAGACAACAGTGTGGTGATGGCCTGAAGGAAGGAGGGGTGACGCTGGTGGAAGCAGTCAAAGAAGAGGGGAATGGACCCTGAGTGCTGTGGCTCAGTGGATTGAGCGCCAGCCTGCGAACCTCAGCGCTGGTAGTTCAACTCCCAGTCAGGGCACAAGTCTGAGTTGCAGGCCAGGTCCCCAGTTGGGTGCATGCAAGAGGCAACCACACGCTGATGTTTTTCTCCCTCTCTTTCTCCTTGCCTTCTCCTCTCTCTAAAAATAAATAAAATATTTTAAAATTAAAAATAAATAAATAAAAAGAAGGGACTGGAAAGATCTCTAATAGCATCAACAATAAAAATTAAGCAAAAGGAATAAATATTAGGAAAGAATTACTCTGGGGTAGATACCCTGAGGAGTGCAAAAAAATCCAACGAGACACCTATATGCTTCCCTGAAAATTCCCTTGCATGTCAGATCTTAGTGTTTCTTGCTCTGTCCACATGAGTCCCTGTCTCAAAAGAGCAAGAAGGAGAAAGTGCCTGTCCCAAACAATGAGACAGTCTCTGGAGATAACTACAAACATGCAGCTGGGTTTGTTTTCTTTCCGGTAACTAGCACCTGAAGAAAATGTTTTTCAGAAATATTCTCAGTTTCCCAAGCCTGTCCTCTCATTGCCACTGCAGGTGACAAGATAATTGCTGTCCCAATGGGAGGTGAGGTCACGGAATCACAACCCATATCTCGTGCCTCTCTCCCCCACAATGCTACTAGCTGTGGTGGCCATCACACTGACCCTCATCCTGGCAGCGGGAAGAAGTCACAGGTGTTTTTTGACTTCGGTCTGAAAGGCAAAGTATGCAAGCAAGGCTGGGTAGCAGGAGTCTGGGTAAGTGATTATATTGGAAAAAGTGCCTCTTCTGGGTTTGGAACAGGTTCAGTGCTAAAGCAATACAAGGGGGAAGCATAATTCCTGAAGCCTGAGCTGAGGTAGTGAAGAGAAATGGGGCCCTAGGCCGGGCCAGTCCCCAATGGCTCCTCAGGCAGAGCGCTGTATCCTAACTGACAGTAGTGGTTGGTATTGAATGCAAGTGGCAATGAGACCTGATTAGTGCCTGAGGACTGCAGGTCTAAACTCATCCTGCAATCTGTAGTTCTGACTTCTACCTTACAGGAATCACAGGCTGGATTTTCAGGGTTGCTACAGATAACATCTCGCCTGGTAAGAAAGGGTAAAATCAACCTACAGACATCACCTAACCCTGTGCAGAAATATCCGCAGCCCCCAACCTTTTTAGCACCAAGAACCGGTTTCGTGAAAGGTAATTTTTTTCCACAGACCATGGGGGTGAGGGGAGAGGGATGGTTTCAGGATGATTCAAGCACATGACATTCAAGCTCACCTCTGCTGTGTGACCCAGGCCAGGACCAGTACTGGTTTGTGGTGGCCAAAGGTTAGGTACCCCTGGACTGTATCTGAGTGACAATTGATGGAATGGAAATGTTTTATCTAACTGTGGGTACAGAGTGCTTGTAGAGATAGAAATTGTTTCCTACTGAAATATCCATGGTGTGCTGATTCTGGCCAGCCTATATTTTACATCAATTTAGGGAAGCACCCTTTGAGAAAAAGGCAACATGCCCTGGCTGGTATAGCTCAGTGGATTGAGCACGGGCCTGCAAACTATGGGATCACGGTTTGATTCCCAGTCAGGGCACATGCCTGGGTTGCGGGCCAGTTCCCAGCAGGGGACACAATGAGAGGCAACCACAAATTGATATTTCTCTCCCTCTCTCCTTCTCTTTCCCTCTAAAGATAAATGAATAAAATCTTTAAAAAAGAAAAAGGCAACATTACAACGTGAGCTTCCGATAACAGTTGTAAGCACAAACATAGCTTTGATATAGTCTCTGGTTTAAAAGATCCTCATATTGTGGGGATAGGTGAAAAAGGGATGATATTAAGAAGTACAGATAGGTAGTTATAAAAAGTCATGGAAATGTAAAGTCCAGCATATGGAATATAGTCAATAATATTATAATAACTAAGCGTGATGTCAGGTGGGTAACTAGATTTATCAGAATGAGGATATTGTAAGGTATATAAATATCTAATCACTCTGTTGTATGCCTGAAACTAATACAATAATGCACGTGAACCGTGATTAAATAATTTTTTAAAAATAAAATAAAATGCTAATAAGGACGCTAAGATTTTTTTTTTATCTTTAAAAAAATCTCATATGCCCTGGCTGGTGTAGCTCGGTGGATTGAGCACGGGCCTGTGAAGCAAAGGGTCGCCAGTTCGATTCCCAGTCAGGGCACATGCCGGTTGCAGGCCAGGTCCCCAGTAGGGGACACATGAGAGGCAACCACACACTGATGTTTCTCTCCCACTCTTTCTCCTTCCTATCCCCTCTCTCTAGAAATAAATAAATAAAATACTTTTTTAAAAACTCATATCAAGTGCAAGCTATACAATTTCAATTTATAAAATGCACAAGATTTCACATCTTAGTTTCTGTATATATTTTGTTTTAGTACCTTTCACAAATCTTGCCTTGTTGGCATTTTTGCTTCAGTCAAGCATTGATATAGGTAACTATATGACTGTGGTTTGGTGATATTCACTATCTACTGTCATAGTGTTCTGTGACTCCTGTGACAGGTGTCACTTGGTTCCGTCAAAAAAGCAAATTAATGTTTCTGTTGCCATAGCAATGTCGGGCCCGTTGTGTATTGTTTAAATACAACTTGTCATGGAGCAGATCCCTATAAAACTATACTACAATCAGGGCATACACATTGTATTAAATCTGTAAATCTTTATTCACAGTTTGGTGTTGGTTTACACAATAAATCTTTACCCATTAGTAGAAACATTAGAAATTACATAAGAAAAGACAGCCAATCAAATATGGTGAAATATGAAAATGACTGAACACTCATCTGCATTATTTAAAGAACACAGCGAAGTAGCTGGTTAGAATAGCACGATGTTTCTTTGCACTGTCTTTTTACCAGGCCAGTCAGGTTCAAGACCCCACCTTGCCCTTTGTCAGGACTGAATTTAGAGAAAGCATTAGCCTTTCTCTAGCTAAACCCTCCTTACAATTTCAGGGAGAGTAACAGTACTGCTAATCTCATGGCATTAGGAAAATAAGCACCTAAGACATGTTCCGCCTTTACAACTGTGACTCATTCTTTAAGGAAGCTTTCCAGGTGATGTGTTCAACTCAAAGCACCCAATTCATAAAGAAATACTTTAAGTGATTATTTCTAAGTGAGAATGAATGCGAATGGGGAATGTTGATTTCCTCCCATTTCTTGCCTCCTGTTCCATGCAGGAATCTCTGGCTCTGAAGACGACAGTATCAGTCCCTGAGAACTGAGAGGATGGCAACCAGCAACTGGGAGATAGGCATCATGTTTTTACTGCAGACACTATTTGGAATCCTCGGGAATTTTTCTCTTCTCTGCCATTATCTCTCTCTTCATCTCACAGAACAACAGAGGCTGAGGCCTGCAGATCTGATCCACAGGCACCTGACTGTTGCCAACTCCTTAGTCATTCTGTCTAAAGCTGTTCCCGAAACAATGGCAGCTTTCGGGCTGAAGCATTTTCTTGGGGATACTGGATGCAAACTTGTCTTCTACATTTACAGCGTGAGCAGGGAAGTGTCTGTGGGCACCACCTGCCTCCTGAGCGTCCTCCAGGCCATCACCATCAGCCCCATGAGCTCCAGGTGGGCACCGCTTAAAGCAAAAGCAGCCAGGCACATGGGCACCTCCACCTTCTTCTGCTGGGCTCTGCACATAATGATAAATAGTATGGTTCCTGTGTATGTGACTGGCAAGCTGAACAGCAAAAATATCACAAAGAGGAGAGACTATGGCTACTGTTTCTCTGTCCTTCATGAAAGCATCGCAAAGTCGCTGTATGTAGTGTATTTGGTGTTGGGATTGTTCCATGATGTTTTCTGCTTGGGGCTTATGATCTGGGCGAGTGTCTCCATAGCCCTCATTCTGTACAGGCATAGACGGCGGGTCCGATACATCCACAGCAGCGGCCTCTCCCCCAGATCCTCCGAGTCCAGGGACACCCAGCGCATCCTTGTCCTGGTGAGCACCTCTGTGTCTTTTTATTTCCTCTCCTCCACCTTTCACATCTGTTTGACTCTTTTTAAAAAACCCAGTTGGTGGCTGATGAAGAGCACTACGCTGCTTGCTGTGTGTTTCTCAGTTGTCAGCCCCTACATTTTCATGAGCCGTGATCCCCGAGGGCCCTGGCCCTGTTTTGCCTGGAGAAAGAACACAAAACCCCCCGTAATTACCAGAGAAATGTAAATTGTATGTATGTGCACAATAGTTACTTGTCTCTTCATTAATCCTCTCAGAGTTTAAGCACATTTCTGAAACAGCTGTAAGCGAGTAGTAAATAAAACAGAATTTCTGTTTCTAATAATAAATTGAATATCAACTGTAAATAAAATATAATAAAGTTACTGTGTTAATTCTTATGTCATTGGAATCTTATTAACATCTGCAGTGGATAAACTTATAGTCTGTGCAGTATTAAAGACTTGTTCCTACCCAGGATGAGGAGCTCAGCTGGTTAGAGCATCGTCCTGGTATGCCAACGTTTTGGGTTCAGTCCCCAGTTAGGGCACATGCAAGACTCAACCAATGAATGCGTAAGTAACTGGAACAACAAATCCATGTTTTTCTCTCTCTCTAAAAACCAATAAATAATTTTTTTTACCTAAAACAATTCAAAAAGTATGGAGAAGCCATAGAATTTGTAGCTTTCAACCTGACAAAATTAATTTTCACAGGCATTAACTATTAGTGAGTTGTAGAAAAAAAATCCCCTCAAGAGGAACACCATTTGAAGTGGTCATTTGAGAAAATGAAGAAAGACAAAAAGCTCTCACAGATTCATGAGTACCATGGAATTTAGGATAAATTCTGTTTCAGAAAGCAGAATCGACAAGGACCAAGGATGACATCCTATATGTAGAGAGATTATAGTAATTTGAAATACGATGCTGTGAAGGGACCTGAGTATATTTTAAAACATTTTCACATGAAAACAACCAGGCTGACCAGCAGAGTGACAAAGGAGAGCGCAAAAGTAGGCTTTTTCTGACGTTTAAGTTATGAAATGAACACTGACTATGAAAAAAATTCATGCTGCCTGTGATAAAACTGCATGGGTTTGGGGATCTGTAGACAGCAGAGTCTGTCTATTCTGTGAAGATGCCAATTGGACATGTTGGCAAGAAATGGGTTTGAGGTACATTCTCAGGTCTCTCAGGTGAGAAAATAAGGTTAAAGTGGGGCCTCCTATTAATCTCAAAGCAGACAAAGAACAGCCATTTGGAGAGGAAAGTCATGAGAAGTTTTGGCCCGTGATTTTTCAAAGAAGTAAAATAACTAATTCCTCAATTTTAGAAAGCGTATTAATATAGCTCTATCTGTATTTACATTATAAAGCTGACGCAGCCCTGGCTGGTGGTGGCTCTGTGGCCTGTTTACTGCAGAATATTCTAAAGGGCTAATCTTGCACTGGATAATAAGAATAGGAGGAAATGAAGTAGTTGATACCTGTTACATTATAAGGAAGGAAGGATAGTGCAAACTGACCTGGAACATGACATTCACCTGAAAACCGCCATTCTCTCCCCTTATTAGCCCTTCTTCGGGATTCTTACTCAAATGAGATGAATCTGAGAGTTTTCAGAAGATGCCCTTTACATGGCATCAGCATATACCTTCTGTGCTTCTATCACAGTGTGAACTGGAAGAGGTTAAATGCAGAGATGACTGTCCTGTATGATCCTCTGCTACAAGGGTGGTTCACAGATAATGGGCTCCTACACAGAGTCCATATCATGACTTTGTCCCCCCGTCTCCGGTGCCCTCCCAAGGTGCCCAGAAACTCTGCTACAGCAGTGGGGACATGGGCTGTACTCACCTATTCCTCAAAAGCCCGTACAGAGCCCATCCATCCCTATGGACCACAGCCTGGACTTGGACCTCACAAATGTGTCCAGGAGCAAAGTGGGAAGAGGAACAGGTAAAAGGCAGGCTATGCTGGGGTTTGAGTCCAGTGTTCTCTTACCTGATTTTTGTCTCTGAGTTACCCAAACATCAATAAATGCAGATTCATTTCTAGATGGTAAAGTTCATCATCTTAAGCACACTGTGGCCTTGGAAACCTGAGCACTGAGGGTACATGATCGTCACTAGAATTCCATGCCTGCATCACAGAGCAATGGAACAGTCCCAAAGGATTCTGGAGGCAGGAGATCAAACAAAGAAAAGGAACCCACAGTCCCCACCCTACTAACTCTTTCCTGCCCCAACACAATCACCCCCACTTCCATCTCCAGACTCTTCTCTGGGCCTCCCAACTTTCCATCTTCATTTTTCATCATATCTCACCTACGCGTTGGAATAATGGCCTTGTTCTTCCACTTATGTTAATTCACACATAATCCAGGTCTCACGAGTGAGTAGCTTCACCCCTTAGGAATTTGTGAGACACCACAAAATCCATGGCCTAAAAAGTTTGAATTTCCCCAAGTGTTTTTACTCATTCCCATGATTTACACCCAGGATCTCCACTGTCTTAAATTTAGTTTTTCCTGCAAAATCCATCTGCCCACACATAGAATTCAGTCCCCCTTGTAACTGCCTCACAAAAGAGTCTATTTTCGAGAGGTAGGTGCCAGTACATCCCACAGCAAATGACTTAATAAACTCTTGGCAGTAATTGCTTTTCTTCTAAAGTCCTTCCGTGCTGCTTTGCCATCAGGACTCTCAGCTCTTCCCTTCCCAGCTCTGCAGAGTCCCGCCCTACTGCCCATTCTCTCTCTGCTCTCTCCCAGGCCACCTCCCTGCCCCAACTATTTACTTTACCAGTTTTACAGTGATCAATTTGCTTTCCAAAATTTACAACCCACCTAAACAACCTAAGTACAGTCTTATTTAAAGAGTAGGTGAGCCTCCTTTAAAAAAAATGATTTTATTTATTTTTAGAGAGATGGGAAGGGAGGGAGAAAGAGTGGGAAAGAAATGTCTATGTGCAAGAGATACATTGACCAATTGCCTCTCGCATGTCCCCAGCTGGGAAACTCAGTCTGCAACCCAGGCATGTGCCCTGACTGGGGTTGCAGAACAGTGACATTTTTGTTCACAGACCAGCACTCAATCCACTGAGCCACACTAGCCATGGCGAGCCTTCTTTTAACATAATCCAACCTATTAACAGGGGGGAAAGTATGCATGTGTTTGTGAACATATGTCTGTCTCTATGTATATACATGTGTGTACATACACATACATAAGTATATCTATACTCACATATAGTTACCTTTACAAGTATAAAGAGTCCAATATTTCACCTCAATTACCAGTGCATAAGTTATCCCAAAATGGTTTCATAGATCCAGTTAGAAGATCCAAGACTCCTGAGAGGAAAGGATTTTATTATTCACAGCACAGCGAGTAACATGAGCTTAATACTTGCATTGGTTCTTTTTGTCCCCCAAGCCTAACGCATTCCAGCCTTTACCCAGAAATATTATCTTCAATGTCCTTCATGGACAACAAATCTATTCTGCACCCCAGAAAAAAACACTACACCTACCTTCCCAAGACAGTGTTCTATACAGACGTCCTTGGTAAAACAGAAAGAAAATTTGTAAATGAAGCTTCCCAAGAGAAATGCAGACACTTGAAAATCCCATAGCTATCACTCCCCATTTCTACATTGTCTTTGCTTCTGACAAATTTCCCCAAGAGCGCACCACGCCATTGGATGTTTGATTAATCACAGGCAACCGAGGCTGAACCCAATTTCATTTATCAGTAGGTGAAGATTACTGTCAGTGGGAGTCAATGCAGCGGGACAGGCTAACCTGCAGTACTGACTTTAGTAACTGCACCCAAGGGTCTCAGACTCAACCAGCTGAATAAATATCACAAGCCATCAGAAGGTACCTTAGGAAGTCAGATCACCAATGATCCAAAGAGTGTAAAAAAGTGACAGGGATTAGTTTCAAGGGTCACAGTGATGTGGCTGGAGTCAGCTGACTGTCATGCTAAATATGTCAACAGTTATCAGTCATAGCTGATTGTCTTAAGAGGCAGGACAAAGGTCCACTGGAGTGCTGAAGGGCCTCCTCAACAGTGAGACAAACAGGTTACACTTCCTTGAGTATTCTGAAAAGCAAATGGTTCTTGAACGTCATCAAACTGTGTATCAGCTGTTTTATCATTTTGTTCATTTTTGTCAGAATGCTAACCTATGATACTTATCTTCAACCTCTAAAAATATAATTTTTTTATCTTAGTTCTGTGTGCAATCAATGCATTACCACTCACCAAACCAACTCTCAAAGCCCCATCTTTGTATATTATGTAGATCTGCCTATCAACATTCCAGTTTATGTGTCAAAACACTGATTTACTTCCATTGTTGATCATCTCTTTATAGCAAGAAGCTGTTTTCACAATTTTTTTAAATTCTCACTGGAAGATATGTTTATTGATTTTTAGGGAGAGAGAAAGTGAGACGGGGAAAAATACTGATTGATTGCCTCCCATACACACCCCAACCTGGGATTGAACCCACAACCTTTTTGCTGTACAGGGTGACGCTCCAACAAACCAAGCCACTTGGCCAAGGCCGTTCTCATTATTCTAAAAATTACAAATAAAAAAAGTGTTCAAAGTTCCACTTTTGATCATAGACAACAGATGCTACTGGCCTGACATCCACCCACTACCTGTATTCACAGCTGGGGGTTAGATCTTTAACAGGTGAGCGATGAAAAAATAAAAGGACATTTTAATATAACTTCTTCAATTTTTTATTTATTATTACAAGAAAAACTAGTCCCTTTACCTTGTTTCAGCCAGTGCCTTCTCCGCCCTCCCTTATGACAGCTGTCAGCCTGTCCCATGTATTTATGCCTCTGGTTTTGTTTTCTTCCTCAGTTTATTTTGTTCATTAGATTCCACGTATGCATGAGATCATATGACATTTATCTTTATCTGGCTGGCTTATTCCACTTGGCATAATAATCTCCAGGTCCATCCATGCTGTCTCAAAAGGTTTACAATTCTTTTAAATTCAATTTTGATATTCTATATTTTAGAGAAATTGACTCTTCCTTTTAACTCCCTAATTTGTTAGTATAGGATTGATTTTATTTGCTCGGATGTTCTTAAATTTTCTACTATTTATTCTAAATATCGAATGCTTTGGCAGAATTCAGGAATCCTCAAGAACACCACGAGATTCAATAATTAACTGGAAACACTGACAGAAATGACTG